CGTCAGTGCAGATGGAAATCGAGTCGTCGGTGGGTGAGAGACAGGTAGGAGGGTGGGAATTGGGGCTGAATGTAGCAGTTAAATAGTGGGGAGGTACCTGGGGAGTCAGATGTCAGACAAGTTATAGTAATCTTTGCCAGCATATCCCACATGTAGATTCATACATATACACAATTTCTTCTGCTAGCTATATTGGGCATGTGTGTCTGTCTCACCGTTTAGCCTTTTTCCATGTATATTAAAGGACTAATGAGTGGAAGCAGCTGAAACCTAGACTATAGAGTGCATCTTTCTTCCAGCCATGATTCTGCTGCCTGTTCCACACTTCTGCCTATGAGGGAAAGCGGAGCACTGGGGTGTCCAAGGACCACTATAGTGCACAGACATTCATTTTTTGAGGATTATATTTTAAGTGTTTCTCCAGCTGTGCGTATCTGTACACTCATTGTTTGGAACACTTCTGAAGGCCCTACAAAGGCATTTGGAGCAGTTCATACATATGGGTCTAGGACAATTCTGGAAGAAAGTTTATGGTCTGATTTTTTTTAGAGGTGCTAAAAACTTCAAAGCATGTTAGTGTGTGTTCAGCACCTTGGCTATGAGACCATATCAATTTTCATAATGGTGCCACTTTCTCAAAGGCATACTATCAATTTAAAATGACTTTTTTTTAAAAACTCACAATTATGTAAAGAGATGCCCACGATTGTTCTGGCAGAGAAATATCAGAATAGCAATTCCTATCTGCTTTCAGTTGGTTTCCTTTGAGCAGTTGATAAAACTTTATGAAAGTTGTATTTACCTTTTATAGCAAAATGAGGGAGAAAAATATTTTTGAAAGACAAAGGGAAATAATTAGACAAATATTTAACTGATCTAAAGAAAAAAAAATGGTGCATTTTACCCCTTCAGTGCTGTAGGTGGCTGAATGATACAAGAAAATACCTCCAAAGAAAAAACTGTACAGCTACCTAATCCAATTCATGTGTAGATTAGCATAGCCTGGTTTTCTAGATGCAGATTTTAATAATCACATAATTTCTTCCTTCTTTTCTGTAACAAGATTACAGGATTTTAGAATTACTTAACCAAGGCCTCAAACTGTGATATTAAAGGGCAGTAGCTTGGGGAATGTCAGTCTTTTTGCTTTCTTCACCAGATACTACTGTAATGAAGCGACAGGAAATGCATTACGCTCCTTCCTTTGTTCTCCCTCCTCTAAGTTCCCAGTTAAATGTATTCAGTAGAAAATAGACTCTGAAACAAGTGGCTAATTGTGAAGATATGTGATAAACCACACTTGAAAGTGAGAGAAATTGCAAAGGATTTGCAAAGTACACTAGCTGTGCGTTGGAAGATGGGCCACTAGCAAGGAAGCGCAAACAAACTGGAAAAACAAAGTTTGTTTTTCAAAATTGTGGTTGCCTGATTGATTTACAGAACTAACTATCTGTTCTTCTATTTTATTGCTAGAATGAAGGGTAAAGATGCAAGTAGCATAATGAATTATGCTTTAAAGTAATATTCTAATATTTTTTGTAAACATTTAGTACATTAGTACTTTAGATGGATAGTGGCTTGCATACTGAGACTTGAAAGAAAGCCTAAAGTATGCATATTTTCCAATACGAGGCAAAATAATGTTAGCAACTAAAATGCTTAAGCAATCCAGCTGTGTTCATAACAAAAGCCATGCCCATCACTTAAACCCAAAAAGTTGGTTAAAAAAAATTACATTTAAAACATTTAAAAAAAAAATTAAAATGCTTGCCTCATTTTTAGAGCCTGAAACCACATGTCTCGCTTTTCTTTTTTCTCTTCCATGGAAGTCCTTTGTACCCATAAAATGAAAATCACTGTACCTTCTATGTGATTTAGTTCATAGAAAATTTCTTCCCACTTCTGAAATGTGTAAATTAGAAACACATCTTTCTTTCTTAACAGTTTTTCTTCTACCTTAGGTACATACAGATATTTCAGGAGAGTAGCCTCTGAAATGGGTTTGAAGGTTACTTTTGTTGACTGTACCAAATTGGAATGTCTAGAGGCTGCAATTACACCAGAAACAAAGGTAATTGAGACATGCTTCTAAATTCAACTTTCAGTGCGTCTTGAGTCATTTTTTTTTGCTGTTCTAACTGCAAGAGTAGGAGCATTCTTATGACAGGTTTTTATTTGTTGCAGGAAGTGTGAGTGACCAACAAACTTAATTTTTATAGAATCATAGAAAATTAGGGCTGGAAGGTACTTCAGGAGGTCATCTAGTTCAACCCCCTACTCAAAGCAGGATCACACCAGCCAAGGCTTTGTCTAGCCAGGTCTAGAAACCTCCAAGGTTGGAGATTCCACCACCTCGCTCAGTAACCTGTTCCAGATTTACTGCCCTCCTAGTTAGAGAGAGTATTTCCTAATATCTAACCTAAGCCTGCTTTGCTGCAACTTGAAGCCATTATTCCTTGTTCTGTCCTCTGCTACCACTGAGTCTAGCTCCCTTGTCTTTGGAATAACCCTTCAGGCTGCTATTAAATCCCTCCCCCTGCTCCCCCGTCTTCTCTCCTCCAGATTAAACAGGCCCAGTTCCCTCAGCCTTTCCTCAGAAGTCACGTGCTCCAGCCCCCAAGTATTTTCACTGACCTCCATTGGACTCTCTCCAATTTGTTTATATCCTTCAAGTGGGAGGGCCCAAAACTGAACACAGTACTGCAGATGTGGTCTCACCAGTGCTGAATAGAGAGGAAGAATCTCTTCCCTTGATCTGCTGGCAGTGCTCATACTAATGCAGCCCAGTATGCTGTTAGCTTTCTTGGCAACAAGGGCACACTTGGTTCATATTGAGCTTATTGTCCACTGTAACCCCCAGGTTCTTTTTTGGAGAACTGCTTAGCCAGTTGGTCTCCAGCTTGTACTGGTGCATGGGATTGTTCCATCCTAAGTGCAGGACTTCGCACTTGTCTTTATTGAACCTCATGAGATTTCTTTTGGTCCAATCCTTCAATTTGTCAAAATCTCTCTGAATCCTAGCCCTACTCTCCAGTGTATCTACTACTCCCCACAGCTTGGTGTCATCTGCAAGCTTGCAGAGGGTGCACTCCATCCCAGCTTCCAGGTCATTGATGAAGATATGGAAGAAAACTGGCCTCAGGACTGATCCCTGAGGCACTCCACTTGAGACTGGCTGCCAAGCAGACATTAAACCATTGATTACTACCCTCCGAGCCCAATAATCCAGCCAATTTTCTATCGGCCTTACAGTTTATTCATCCAGCCCGTACTTCCTTAACTTGCTTGCGAGAATGTTGTGGGAGACCGTATCAAAAGCCCTGCTAAAGTCAAGCTGTATCACATCCATTGCTCTTCCCACATCCACAGAGCCAGTCATCTCCTCATAGAAGGCGGTCAGGTTGGTCAGGCATGACTTCCCCTTGGTGAATCCATGCTGACTGTTTGTTCCTAATCACCTTCTCCTCCAGGTGCTTAGAGGACCTGCTCCATGAATTTTTCTAGGGACCAAGGTGAGGCCAACTGGTCTATAGTTCCCCTAGATCCTCCTCTTTCCCTTTCTTAAAGAGGGGCACTATATATGCCCTTTTACAATCGTCTATGACCTCTCGAAATAACCACAAGATGATGACCAGCAGCTCTGTAATCACACTGGCCAACTTCCGCAGCCCTCTTGGGTGCATCCTGTCTGGCCCCATGGACTTAGAAAACCTGGGTATGTACAAGTAGTCCCTAACCTGTTCTTTTTCCACTGAGAGCTACTCACCTTCTCCCCAAACTGCTGCTAGGTGAAGTAATCTTGGAACTGACTTTGCTTGTGAAGACTAAGGTGAAAAAAGCATCGAGTACTTAAGCCTTTTCCGCATCATCTGACATTAGGTTGCCTTCCCCATTCAGTAAGGGACCCACACTTGCCTTTATCTTCTTACTGTTGACATACTTGTAGAAATCCTTCTTGTTACCTTTCACATCCCTTGCTAGCTGCAACTCTAGTTGTGCTTTGGCCTGCCTGATTTTATTCCTGCATGCCTGAGCAGTGTTCTT